GATGTGAGGTACATGCCTCTCAATTTTAGAGTTTTCAAAGGCAAAAAAAAATGAAAAATCGCCAAAGATGGCGGTGTCCAATCGTGTTCGCTCACTAATTTCAATTTTTTTTTTACTTTATTCTATTTTCTGTTTTCTATTTTGTTTTCCAATTTGGTAACGAATTTAAATGTTATGCTTCGGCAAATGTTGTTTATTTTATTTTTCTTCATAACATTTTTTTTTTTCGAAAGTTTTTGAGGTTTTTTTTTTTTTTTTTTTTCCCGCGCGGAATTGAACCCTGCGTTCGGACCCGTTCATTGAACGCGCGTTCATTCCGTTCAGTTTCTGAACGGAAAACCCGCGTTCAATGAACGCGCGGTTTCATAGAAGCTACGAGAGGAACGCGGCAGGCAGGATTGCAACCCGTATGTCCGCATCAAGACCTTGTGGGAGGTCCACCCACCGATTGCGGGAGCTCCGCCGGAACCAAGGCGGGGTTCTGGAGGCAGGGAACTTCAGGTATATTCTCGTTGACGCGTGTGATCCCTTCCCCTATCTGCTATCCCCTGGTATCTGAAAATAATACTATGTAAGGATAATACTTCTTGTTTTGTTATATATGTCAGGACATGCGTTGTGAAAGGATAAATAAACAGGTACGTATGAGAGATCATATTTCCTTGGGTGAAGTCAATCAAAAGGAACATGGGGAAGGTGGGAAAGGTGTATTGCATGGGTCAACCCAAGACTGGGCTCCTCTAAGTTAATGTGAGCTCAGTGTTGTGTTTTGTTTATGTTTGTCGGGATGATTGTATGGTTTTTAGGGCTGGGCCTATCCTAAGTTGGACGGACCGGTCGCTGTTTTTTTCTGGGGTTTCTGAACAGGAGGATGGACACCCTAAGTTGGGAGGTCTCAGAGTCCTGATGTTTCTTTTGTGGGTTGTTGAGAACAGAGCTGGGAATACTCTAAGTTGCGTAGACCGAGTTCTGCGCGTGTTTTTTCTGAGGGGGACACAGGCATGAGGCTGAGGCGTACCCTTAAGTTAGGGCGGCTCATTCATAAACCATGAACACAGAGGTTAGCTAAAGGTATACAATTCTGATATATACTATACGAACCTATATCATCTGGCAGACCGGGCACCCTAAGTTGGGAAAGCCAGTCAGTAAGTCAGGTAGAACAAGAAGAGTAGAAAAACTATCAAGAATACAATGAAGGTAACCTGGGCAAGCTGAGCGTACCCTTAAGTTAGGGCGGCTCGATCTTATGCTCATCACAAGACAAAGGATCAGAGAGTTAGTATAAACTGGTTTTATTTTCCCTTCTAAACACAGGGCAAGATTAGATGTCTCCCTAAGTTGGGTAGGTCTGATTATCTGCCTAATAAGAGAGAAACATATGAAGTTTGTGCAAATATCAATGGTTGTTCCTCTATATTGTCGTTACGGAGGCTAATCGTACCCTTAAGTTAGAGCGGTTTAGTCATACGTCGTTGTACTTTGTTCAGACAGATTTTGTCTTATGTACTTAAACAGTTAAGCTAGCTAGGCGTACCCTTAAGTTAGGGCGGCCTAGTGTTATTCTCTTGTCGTTGATGTTATGCAGGTTGGACGTACCCTTAAGTTAGGGCGGTCTGACCATTCGTCGTTCGTACTTGTTTTAGGCAGGTTAGGTACACGCCTAAGTTGGGGCAGCCTAATCCTATGCCCTATGTAACTTTGTGTAAGGCTGGCTAGACATACCCTTAAGTTAGGGCAGTCTAGTCTTATGCTACACGTCGTCAGTTTAAACAGAAGCCAGGCGTACCCTTAAGTTAGGGCGATCTCGTCATGTGCTTTATGACTAGAGTTTATCTGGAGTTGGGCATACCCTTAAGTTAGGGCAGGTGAGTTGTGCGTACTCTTACTTCTTTACTTAGGCAGGTTGGGCATACCCTTAAGTTATGGCCTTGTCTGATCCTATGCCATAAGTGAGGGGGGGGTTAAAGGGAAGAACTGAATGATCTAATGAACTACTGGGGCAGATTGATGTGGGATTGTGAGAAATATATGTTTATGCATGCTTGTGGGCTTTCACTTGGGGCGTCTTCTCGATAGGATAGCTGCTTTAGATGCTCGCTAAGTGTTGAGCCATAGGTAGACTAGATGGATGATGGGAGGGAGAACTTGGGATGAAGGTAGGACTGACCCTACTAAGAGTCAAGGTCAATGCTAGCCCACAGTCTTATCTAGAGGTTGTGTTGGATATCGTTGATCTTGAATCATCAAGCAGATGTCAGAAGCTAGTCCCAAGTGTAGTTGCTTTGTCTTTTTGCCTTTTCAGCATCGTATAAATCTTGGCAGCTTCCTATTCCTACGGGAAGCGCTGCCGAAATTTCTACAAATCTGAAGGAGTTAGTCATTTTTTGGCTCATAGAAATTTTGAAAAGGCACTTTTCCTACGGGAAGCGCCGCTGAAATTTCGTAGAATTTGGGAAGTTAGAGTATTTTCCAGCCAGGAGTTACTTAGCAGATACATTCTGATTAGAGGAGATACTTAGTGACTTGGTACTAGTAGAGGAGCTAAATTACGACTAGGGGGATGTTTTCCCCTTGGCACCGGCATAAGTAGTAGTTTTCTTTGGCCTGTACTGTGATGCAGGTTTCTGTGTTGCGACTGAAGGCTTGATCTGTTCAGCCTGTTCCTTCAAAAGGACCATTCTTCTGTTATCGCTGATAACAGGTCGATTGCCGATCCATCGGTCTACGACTCAACCCCAATTCACCCTCAATACTCAACCTAAAAAGGCTTTAGCCCTGATGACTTTATTGTCTTGTTGAGGTTTCACCCAGACTTTTATTGAATGACCATTTAACAGAGGTACTGAGTACTTAATTATGGTTGGTTGGCTGGAGGTTGGGGCTTGCATGGCTAAAGCAAGAGGTATGAGTGGAGAGGTTGGTTGGAGTTGACCCCGTGTAGCGCGTGGATCTTTGCTTGATTCTGTGATTTGATTGCAGGTATGTATGGAAGAGTATCATCTGAGTTATGTTGAGTGATCGTGTCTTGGATTCAGATAGGCAACCTACATTACTGTCGTGAGAACGAACTACCCCACAACCCTTTTGTTTGAGTGAGACTGTGTTGTCCCCGTTCTGATGAGGTGATAATCCAAGTAAACGTACGTGCGGGTAACCCCCTCAGGGTTAATCCCGACGATGTTATGTCTGATGATGTTAAGAGTCTTGCTTCATTTCCTTGTTGAAGTTTATTTTAGTGGAACGATAAGGTTCCGAGCGGAAGGGTTAGCGTGTCACTGGTGATGCGCCAGACAACTCACCATCACTCCAAATTCCTTCCTGCCCTAGGGGCTGTCTTACCCCGCGCCCTTTGGGACACCTCAGTGTGCAGAAGATGGAAAGGCCCTCAGACCGGTTTTGCACCCGCTAAAGGGTTACCTCCCTTAGCGCGCGCCTCAGCCAACGCCTGAGCGTCGGAAATAAACCCATGGCTCAGAAGAAGCCATTTGGGTATGGGCACCGCATAATACGCCGTCATCGCAGATACTCACGTAGAGCTGCCTAGTGAATTGGTATGCGTGGGTACTGCGTCCGCGCGATCTTATACTAAGTCCATGTGCGCAACACTCTCCGATTCTCACACTAAAAGTTACGGGTCAGGCGGCGAGACCAAAAGCGCGATATGGCCAATAGACTCGGGTTTTTGGTATCGCGAAGCGACACATGGGTGAAGGACTAGTCCCAGTCGACCTATGGGAGTCCGTGTACGGGCCTCACTATCCCGGACAACGGATAGCTTACAGGTAGGACTTTGGACCTCCCTCGCGCGTGCGTCGTTTGGGTCTGTCTACCCCCTTCATTTTAGGAGGTCACTAAACTAACGCGAGTTGGACTAAGTTCTTCTTTTGAGCTTTTATGGTTGGACGTTGTAGTTCGTGGCAGCCGTCAAAGTCAAACCCCTTGATTTTGGCTACCACGACAGCCCTGAAATTATCTTCTCAACCCCTCTGCACAGGATGCAGAAGAGGGTGTGGTCTTCAACCGCTCATGGCGGTTGTCTGGCGTCGAGAGATTACCCCTCAAAGCACCTGTCAGCCGACACTCGAGTGTCGAACGCGACCCCCGAGAATATCAAGGGCCGCGAGGCCGCGAGTACCACATAGGACCCCATCCGCACAAAAGATTGCGCGTGTCCGCATGGCTGGTTGTCGTGAGGAGGGCGTGCGCTCGCTCGGGACTTATACGAAAATCCAGCATGCGACTCCTATCTGATCCCGTTGCATAAAGTTATGGGTCGGATACCGAAGGGACTAGGATTTGTTGTGTTGTAGTGTTGTTTGTGGTATTAGAGTTGTGTGTGGTTCAGGTGTTATGTGTGAGTAGATATGAGTGTTGTAGTGTAACGCGTGGGTGTGTAGTACATCCTAGTCGACCGACGCCGGGTCGCGTTTGGGATTTCAGCCCCCCAGTACGGCGATTCGCGTACAGGTTCGATTCTTGGGCGTTCGACCGTGCGTAACCCCCTACGCTACAGCAAACGAGAAACGCCCTTGGTTGGGCCACCTCTGCAATTGCATACGAAAAACTTTCGCATGTGGTTCAGTAGCTCGGCGGGGATACGCCCACCTAAGGGATGGTGACGGCTCCCGCAGGTGGAGGTAAGAGATGTCTCGCATGACCCTGTCCTGTCGTAGGGGCTCGCGAGAGGTACGGCTGGCGCACTCGGCCGGAGCGGCAAACGCTCTCTGCGACAAGTCCTGCAAAATCTTGCATGACGCGGTCGGGAGGGTCCCCGTGCGGGACCGATGCGCTCGACAGGTGACGTCGTTGCCGGGGATCTCTGCTGCCTACCGGGGTCTTTAAGAGAACGAACCGAGGTTAAATGCAGGCTGATGATCTAGGCAAAACGACAGAAGCTTATGGTTTGGATTGTCTTATATCAGGGGATCATGAATAATATAATAATAAGATTAAGCGACTAGAAGTACGGCTTAAGGTTGTAGATTGATTGGCTGAACCTGGAAGTGGAACGGCTAAGTCGTAACCTGAGACTAGTCCCCTAGAACTTGACAAGCTATCTGATGGGCAATCTCTTTTTCTAACAGGTTGGTTAGCAAGAGGAGGTAAAAATGCCAGACGCAGATGGAATCGAGCGGGGCCCGGCAGCTACGCCAGCAGACTTTGTCAAGGCCCTTGAAAAAAGGGAGTTGGCACGGCTACAAGTACCAAAGGTTGACATCTTCTGGTTTGAAGGGGAGAGAGTGTCCAAATGGCTAGAGCTGTTGGAACAGGTTACAGGCGAGGTGTCGGATGAAGATAAGTTCAAATTCCTACCAGATACGTCTGGTGGGAAACCCGGTCCGAAGTAATGAAGGTGGCTGCTGCAGCAGGGGGAGACTGGGCTAAGTTCAAGGCAGAAATGAAGAGGCGGTTCAAGTTAGGGGATGGCTTATTAACGAAGACGGACTTGGAGATGTTACAGCGAGATGAATTCTCCACGGTAGGGGCCTTCGCCACATCTTTCAGCGTTTGAGAAGATGGGAAAGAAAGTCCCAGGGTTGGCGGAGGAGGAACAGTGTGCCACTTTCCTGGGAGGCCTCGTCGCTAACCAAGAAGGCTGCGCCAGGAAAGAAGCTCACTTGGGCCGCCATAAAGGAAGGCGTAATAGAAGGAGAATTGGACCAAGTAGACATTTTTCAGATGAGGCAGGCTAGGAAGAAAAGAAAGGCCTTGGATGCCACAGCGAGTGATGGGCGCGACTTCAAGAGAATGGCAGAGGATGCAGTGGCCCAACTCGATGCAGAGAAGGAGGCAAAGAGAAAGACTATGGCGGCACCGCAGACCCAAGGAAAAGCGAAGAAGGCAGTGGTGTAGGAAGAAGAAGAAGAGGAAGAGGAAGAAGAGCTGGAACCTCAGAAGTTGACAAAGGCTCAGAGGAAGGCGAGGAACTTGGTCCAAAGGGGGGAAGGCGGGCGGGGTCAGGCCCTGCAAGCTGTGGCAATGCCACCCCCTGAGTCGCCCAGTCAAGCCGCACCAGCACACTGTGTGTCGTGGCCAGGTTGTGGACCTCCAAGTCACTGGCATAGGCATTGTTCATACGCACCATGGCCGATGAGTGGGCCGCATGAGTCATGTGTCGGACCGCCAATGAGCACGGCTTCCTGTGGCTGTCCGGGACCCCAAGCTCAGCAGGCGAGCCACCCAAACCCACCACCAAACCAACCTCAGCAGTCAGCCCAACAAGGATCACAAGAGAATCAAGGTGGTGGACGAGGACAAAATCAAGGATGGGACCGAGGACGAGGGAATGGTGGCCAAGGAGGAAACGACAGAGGGAATGGTGGTGGTAACGCTGCAGGCGGGGGAAACGGGGACTAGACTGCATCTGGAAGTCAAGGTGGTCAAGAAGGTGGAAGGGGCAGAGGGAGAATAGATTGGAGAAATGCCATTTGTTGGCATTGTGGGCAGAAAGGCCACACCATCAAGTTCTGCCACGTCAGAAGGAACGATGAGGATAAAGGGTTGATCAGCACCAACTATGATGGGGACATGTACGACAAGTGGGGATACTACCTTAACCCAAAGACCCCAGGTGGGACAAGGAAGGAGGCCCTACGACGAGCCGAGGCCGGCGCGCCACCCGCTCCTCCATCCATGTTTCGGATATGGCAGGAGAAAGAGGTCCGCTGCGACATCAGGGTGGAAGAGGTAGGAGAGAACGAAGAGGTAGAGCAAGAAAGGAAAGCCGGCACCATCAAGGAAGAACCGATCATAGTAGAGTCCGACGATGAGATAGAAGAAGACTGTTGGAACAGGCCGCGACATGCTGAGACAGGGGAAGATTACTGGAGAACGGTCCGACAGACAATGGAGAGAATGGAAGACTTAGTAGCCAAGGTCGGGAGGTACAAACAAAAGTTATCCGCTATGTGTGACGAGGTCAGGAAGTGGAAAGGTAAGGAGTCACTGGTGTACCTCTACGATCAGGGTTCAGGGTCGCAAGGTGGATCTGGAAGTCTGCCAGGCGTCACGACTTCAAGGCAAGCGCCAAGGTCCAGAATGACCTATAGACCACCCTCGAGATCGGGAAGAGCACCTCAGGCGGTTAGGACAAGGGCCAAAGGGCCGGTAAGCCCCGAAGAACAAGCAAAGGATGTTCCTGAGCCCAGTGGAGAGAAAGAGGTGGTGAATGTTCCAGAGGGGGAGGATGATGAAGACGACAGGTTGAGGAAAGAGGAGGATGAGAAAGCCGAGCAAAGAGCCAAAAAGAGGGGCGCCAAGCCTGATACGGACAGAGCTCAGGAAGTGAAGAAAAAGAAGTATGCTGTCCGAGTAGAAGAGGGATTTGATGTGGAGGAGATCATGGATAGGATTCTTGAAGGTCATAACTATCTTATGAACCTGAAGGATGTCCTGGCCTCATCGCCAAGGCTCCGAGATGAGCTAAGGGCACGATTATCCAGGAAGATGGTGGTCAACATACGGTTAGGGACTATAATCCCTAAGGAGGCTGAGTGGGCTGAAACGGGTACTAAGATGGACTGGAAGTCTGTCGCCTGTGGCTGCCTCGATGTTGTGGTGAAAGGGAAGACATGCACCGCGATGGTGGATAGTGGAGCGGAAATGAACCTCATAAAGGAGGAACATGCCGTACGGATGGGAATGGAGATAGACCGCTCTGACAACGGGGTTTTGATGGGGGCCAACAATCGATCGGTATTCATTGGGACCGTGTCGTCAGTGATATTGGAGATAACTCACCACCGCTCCAAGTCCCCTCCTGCCCTAGGGACCATCTTACCACGCACCCTTTGGGACACCTCAGGGTGTTGAAGATGGTAAGGCCCTCAAGCCGGTGTTGCGCTCGCTAAAGGGTTACTCCCCTTAGCACGCACTTCAGCCGACGCTTGAGCGTTGAGGACAACCCCATGGCTCAGAAGAGGCCATTTGGGTATGGGCACCATATAATGCACCATCACCATGGGTACTCACATAGAGCTGCATGGTGAACTGGTACGCGTAGGTCCTGTGTCCGCTCGGATTTATGTTAACCCATGCGCGCGACACTTACCCATTTCTGCAATCGAAAGTTATGGGACGAGCGAAGAGGGCAAAAGCGCGCCACGGCCAGTAGACCCAAGTTTTGGCAGCACGACATGATGCAGGAGCAAGGGAATAAGCCTAGTCGGCCTATGGGGACCCGTGTACGAGCCTCCAAAAGTCTCAAACATCGGGTTGCCTGTGGGTCTGAGTCTGGGCATCATCCGCACGCATCTTTCGCGTTGTTCTACCCCTCTTGTTTGGAACGACTATCAGACTATCTGCAGTTGTTTCCTCCTTGAAGTCTTCATGGTTGGACGTTGTAGTCCGTGGTAGCCGTCAAAGTCAAACCCCTTGATTTTGGCCACCACGACAGCCCTAAAGTTGTCTACTCAACCCCTCTGCACAGGGTGCAGAAGAGGGTGTGGTCTTCAACCGCACATGGCGGTTGTCTGGCGTCGAGAGATTACCCCTCAAAGCGTCTGTCAGCCGACACTTGAGTGTCGAACGCGACCCTCGAGATTATCAAGGGCCGCGAGGCTACGAGTACCACATAGTACCCCATCGGCGCGAGTGCTTGTGTATGCCCGCATGGCTGGTTGATATGAGGAGGTCGTGCGCCCCCACAACTTTTATACAAAAATCCAGCGCGCGGTACCTAGCTGATTCTCGTGGCACAAAATTATGGGTCGGATACTGAAGGGACTAGGAGTATTGCGGTTGTTATGGCGTCGTTCATGATGTCTGTTTTGTGTATTTTCATGTGTTATGTGTGGGTAGATGTGAGTGTTGTGGTGTACGCGTAATGTGCGTAATGCGTCCTAGTCGACCGGCGCCGAGTCACGTTTGGGACCTCAGCCCCCCAGAACGTCGATTCGCGTGCGGGTACAATTTCTTGGGCGTTCGACCGCGCGTAACCCCCTATGCTACAGCGAACGAGAAACGCCCTCGGCTGGGCCACCTCTGCAATTGCATACGAAAAACTTTCGCATGTGGTTCAATAGCTCGGAAGGGATACGCCCACCTAAGGGATGGTGACAACTCCCGCAGCTCGCGTGACCCTGTCCTGTCGTAGGGGCTCGCGAGAGGTACGGCTGGCGCACTCGGCCGGAGCGGCAAACGCTCTCCGTGACAAGTCCTGCATAATCCTGCGTGATGCGGCCGGGAGGGTCCCCGTGCGGGACCGATGCGCTCGACAACGCCCCTCAAGTTGAGTAGGTCGGTAGAGACCAACTTAAGCCCCATCTCCTGGTGTTGTCCTCCTGATCTTCCTGTGCCATCCATTAACTTGTCGAAACCCATCCAGACCTCTGAAAACAGAGGAGGGTCCTCTTCCTAAGTGCAAGTACCTTTACCCTTTCTGTCCTCCACCTCCTCAGGTGTCTTTCCTTGCTGCATCCTCTCATGCAGCTCTGCCAGGTTCTTCATCCTGAGCTGGGTTCTGATGTCCTGCTCCCTTGCTGCTCTTTCTTTCCTGTCCAGCTCCTTCTCTTGGGCAGACTGATTCTCTCTCGGCTCCTGCACATGTGGCTCGTGAGGAATGTCTGGCTCTGCGTCAGGCATAGGACAATCCATCTCCCTTTGAGCAGGCTGTGGAGGTGCATCTGAACTACTGGACCCCCCTGCTCTCTCACGCCGGTGGGACTTGTGTTCCTTCCTCCTCTCCTCCCTTTGAGTCCCTGATGACGCACCTTGCTCAAAGGTTCTCATTTCCTCTGCCTCGGGTTCCCTTCTTCTTTTTTCCATGCCTCTCCTTTCACCTGCCTGACGAGCTGGCGTATAGTAGTTTCATAGCAGCTTCTTGTAGTGCCCCCAATTCATGGCAGATGCCACGATAGATCGAACAAAGGGTCTGATATGGTGTCTCGCAAACAAAAGGAAGTTCCCCACTCTCTGCTCTCCTGGGATGCCAAGCTCATCTGCATATCGATCAAAGGTCAATAGGAACTCCCCCAGGTTAGTGGAGTCGAATCGAATGGGCCGTCCATCCCTCCCTAATGGTGACGGATGCAACCCTTCCATCTTCCGCCCAAAGTCTTGCCAGTTCAGCGACTCCCTGACCAGGTTAGCAATGGGGTCTGCTCACTTGCCTGCGCCTCGCACCTCTCTCAACATCCTGGTGCTGTCCCATCCAAACTCTCGCGCATGCCGCTCGAACTGCATCAGGAACAGCTCAATGTTCCCTCCCTGGAAGACTGGAGGCCTGTCCTCTCACCTGGTCCTCATCCACGTCCTCGGTCTGGTTGCCCCCAAAGGGGTTTCCACTGGCTCTGCCCCTCCCCTCCCTCTTGGCATGGCTGCCCTCAGTGGTATCAAGCCTGCACAATAGGGAAGAGATGAACAGAAGCACACAGAGGGTAAGCGATGTCAGACAAAACACAACAGGAGACAGACGTAGCCCTCCCATAACTACCCTAACTGCTTACTTATCCATACATATGCATACATATCCACACACACACGCGAGTCTAATCACAACCTATTACGCTACTCTACTGAGAGCAATATCCAAAGTAATCAAGAGATGACTCTAAGTGGTGAGATCCCCGCTCACCTCGTCTCGAGCAGCAAACTTCTTCAACCTTGAGCCCAACACTTTTTGTTTTAATGCCGTCCCATTTAACTCCTCAATTTGGTATGCTCCGTGCTCTCCACACCTGGTAACCCTGTACGGTCCCAACCACCTCTTGTCTAGCTTCCGGGACCACTGCTTCTCCAGGGACGAGTCATATAACAACACAACGTCTCCCACCTTGAGGGGTTCTTTTCTCACCCTCGTCATTTTATCTCATCGGAACTTGTTCTTGGTACGACTATCGGCTGTCCTACTTGCTGCTTCCTCAATCCTGTCCTCAATAGCACCAATCTGACGTGCTCTCAAATCCCGCAGTTCCTCAAAGGTCAGATCAGTCTCGAGGTCCTGTCGCCTCCAGGTTTTCAGGAAGCTCTCGATAAGGAACGTGGCGTGCCTGCCATACCATAATGTAGTCGGTGCATAGCCAGTGCTTCTCCTGACAGTAATATTGTCCACAAAGAAAGCGATGCTTAGAAAATCCGGCCACTGATTGGGTTTGCCATCGGTCCACTTGGCAAGAAGATTTGTGATGGTGTCGTGCCCTCTCTCCATAGGTGCATTGGCTTGAGGGTGCGCTGCAGTGGTGTATTCGACGATTACCCCATAATTCTTCAATAGAGTCTTTACTTCCGCACATGTGAATCCAGACCCCCTATTCATCACAAACCTGGAAACGAAGGGATAATGAAGGTAGTATTCTTCGATGCATCTAGCCAGCGTCTCGCCAGTCTTTGTGCGAATGGCCCTGCCATCCACAAACCCAGAGAGGTTATCCCGTGCATCAAAGATGAGGTTATAGCTCCCTATTCCCAACGGCATTGCCAATAGATCCAAGTGCACGACCGCTCCAACCTCACGAACGTACCTCGGGTGCAGCGGCTCTCTAGGTCTAAGAGCAGACCGTTCTTGGCATGGTACACAAGACTTACAATAGTCATCAATCATCTGCCCCATACCATCCCAATAGTACAACTCGTGTATCTTGAGGTAAGTCGTATCTGAACCTCTGTGGCCACCTGCCGTACCGTCGTGCAGTGCCGCCATAATGTCGATCTGGCGAACGACGCCACAGACTACTCTCCTGGGATCCCTTCCTTTGCTCCTCATGAACAGATGACCATCCCTCACCAGGAAACTTAGCCTCGTCTTCAGAACTTTTGCGCAAACATCCCTTTCCCTCATCTCACACGAAAGAAGCATGCCGAGTTCAAGGTATACTCCCTCATATTCCTCTGCTCGAAATGCTTCCTTGATCTCTCCTTCCTCAAAATCATTGTCTTCCCTCTCATGGATCACGTTGTCACCCTCTTCCAGATCTTGCCGTTGTACCGTATTCCCGACTGCCTCTTCCTGAAGCAGCGCATTCGCCAACAAGTACATTCCACATATCACCTTCTCGTGCTCGCTCACTTGTAGCGCCCCATTTTCAACCATAAGCGATCTTCCTGCAACTCGTACTTGCCTGGTAACACCAGCTCCATCATCCAATATACGCCCGACATTCCCCAAGAATCTTCTTCAATATAGGGTTTGAGGACTAAGTTTGGTCGTCGCGCATGTCGTAGGGGCGCAAGCCACACAGGCCGTCCAGGAGTAACGTATTCACCCACGGCCAATGACCAGGAGTTGATGTGAAGTGTCACATCCTCCGCATTGTCCAGGAACCCGTCGACTGGCGGAGTATCCTCGATCACTCCTTGATTGTTCTTGTCCCAGTCGACGCGACCCAGCTCGTCTGCCCTATTCTTGTTTCCTGGAATTCGCTCCAACTCAAAGTCGAACATCCAGATGTACATCAGCCACCTGGCGATAGTTGGATCTGAAGGAGCGAAGTTCTTGAGAGAACCAGCCAATGCTGTAGCGTTCACCCTTAGTACGAACCTACTGCCAAAATGGTAATTTCGGAAGATCCTCAAACAGTGAAGAACTGCCAAGGTTTCGCGGTTGAACTGAGAGTAGTTTCTCTCAGACGTATTAAGCGTCCGACTCTCGAATCTTAATGGTCGTTCTTCCCTGTTGGGGTCTCGCTGTATCAACACTCCTCCTAAAACAGTTGGCCCTGCGTCTGTCTCGACAATAAAGGGTCTGATCATCACAGTCGCATGGTCTGGTACTCCCAGTACTAGACCTCCTTCCTCGAATTCTTCTTCAGATCTTGTATCACAGACTCCTGTTGGTCTCCCCATTCCCAATCTTGTCCCTGACGCACAAGCTTCCGCAGTTGCTCTGTCTTTGCCGCAAATCCCTTAATAAAGATCCTCCAAAACCCACACGTTCCTAGGAAGCTCCTCACCTCCGTGATAGTCTGGAACGGTGTTGGCCATTCGAGAATCTTGTTAGTCTTCTTAGTATCTGGCCGACGACCCGTCTCGTCGCACACAAATCCTAAGATAGTGGCACCACTCATGCAGTGCCTTGACTTTGACCCGCTTGCAGTGAGGTTATGCTGCTTCAGCAGGTTTAGGACCTTGCACAAGTCTTGCACATGGTCCCACACAAAGCGCCTAATCCCTGGCATCACCTCCTGCTCATCCTTCTCTTTGGGCCCTTTCACGGCCAGATTGTCAATGTAGGGCTGCGTGATGTGAGGACTTATGGGCTGCATCGCCCACACCATGTGCCGCTGGAGTATGGCGACCGCATTCGTCCACCCCTGCTGCGCAACGTTCATGTGGATCAGCCCTCGAGGGGTATGCATAGCCGTCATCGGTCTGTCCGATGGGTACACAGAAAATTGATCATAGCCTGAATACAAGTCAATGAGTTGCTAACCCTTCCGCCCGGAACTTTATCGTTCCACCAAGATTACTTTCAACAAGAATAAGGAAAACACAACTCTTAACATTATCAGAAAGGACACTGTCGGGTTTAGCCCTGTGAGGGTTATCCGGGCGTATGCCTACTTAGATTATCATCTCATCAGAACGGGAATAGAACAGTCTCACTTAAACAGAAAGGTTGTGGGGTAGCTCACTCCCACGACATTTGTGTGGTTTTGCCCATCTGAATCCATAGTAATATCACTCAACATGAATCAATCGAGACTCTTTCACACATACCTGCAATCACATTAAAGAATCAAGCAAAGATCCACGCACTACACGGAGTCAACTCCAACCAATCTCTATACTCATACCCTTTGCTTTAGTCACGCAAGCCCCAACCTCCGGCCAACCAACCATAATTAAGTACTCAGTACCTTTGTTAAATGGCCATTCAATAAAAGTCTGGGTGAAACCATAACAAAACAATAAAATCACCAGGGCTAAAACCTTTTTAGGTTGAGTATTGAGAGTGAATTGGGGTTGAGTTGTAAACCGACGAATCGACAACCGACCTGTTATCAGTGATAACAGAAAAGTGATCCTTTCGTAGAATCAGGCCGACCAAATTGAGCCTTCAATCGGACGTGAAAACCTCAATCACAGTACAGGTCAAGGAGGGTCACTGCTATGTTCAAGTTAAGTGGAGAACGTGCTCCAACTCATAGCCTAGCTCCTCTACTAACCTCTCGTTCAGCCTCCTTACTAACACTAAGTCACGGAGAATATCGGCAGCATCTCCCCTACTAAGGATGGATTGCAGAGTTTCCCCTAGCCAGAAATATTCTAACTCCTTAAATTTTGCAAAATTTCGGCAGCGCTTCCCGTAGGAAAAGTGTCTTTCCAAAATTTCTATGAGTCCAAACAGGTAAGGTACGTACAACTGGGCTGCCCTAACTTAAGGGTGTGCCCAATATAACATAAACTATATACATAAAGCATATAACCAGACTGCTCTAACCTAAGGGTGTGTCTGGCTTCTACTTAACTGACGACATGAAGCATAGGACTAGACTGCCCCAACCTAGGGGTGTGCCTAACCAGCCTTAAACAAAGTTACATATGGCATAGGGTTAAACTGCCCCAACGTAGAGGTGTGCTTAACCTGCCTAAACAACCACAAACGACAAATGATCAGACCGCCCTAACCTAAGGATACGTCCAACCCACAGAACGTCAACGACAAGGGCATATCACTAGGCCGCCCCAACCTAGGGGTACGCCTAGTTAGCCTATACAGTTTAAGTCACATAAGGCAATGCGACCAGACCGCCCTAACCTAAGGGTACGTCTGGTCTGCCTGAACAAGAACAACGACGTATGGCTAAGCCGCCCTAACCTAAGGGTACGCTTAGCCTCCGTAACAACCATTTAAGCAACCATGAATGCTTGCACAAACTCTATGATTTTCTCGCTTCTTAGGCAGATAGTCAGAGCTACCCAACCTCGAAAGACATCTAACCCTGCCTTGTGTTTAGAAGGGAAAATAGAAACAATTTTATACTAACTCTCTGATTCTTTTGTTATTACGAGCACATGACTGAGCCGCCCTAACCTAAGGGTACGCTCAGCCTGCCCGAGTTACCTTCATTATACTCTTCATTCATTTCTCTTCTCTTTTTGTTCTACCTGACTTACTGACTGGTTTTCCCAACCTAGGGTGCCCGGTCTGTCAGAAGGTATAAGTTCAATAATATATACCAAATTATATACACTGGTTATTCATTTGGTTCATAGCTTATAACTGAGCCGCCCTAACCTAAGGGTACGCTCAGCCTTATGCCCTTGTCCCCCTCAGAAGAAACACACAGGACTGGGGTCACACAACCTAGAATGCCCCAGTTCTGTTTCAAGAACCCACAAAAGAAACATCAGGGAGCCGACCTTCCCAACCTAGGGCGTTCGGTTCCCTGTTCAGAAACCCTCAAAGAAATGGCGACTGGGCCATCCAACCTAGGGTAGGCCCAATCCTAAAAAAGGTCATTCAGACAGCCCAGCAAACAACAATAAACATAGCACTGAGTCCACACCAACCTAGGGGAACTCAGCCTTGGGTTGACCCGGTCAAAGCATGCAAAACACCTTCCTCCCACCTTCCCCCAATCTAGCTTTGTCTGGTCTCCCTCAAAAGAATACCTGACCTCTCATATGCACTTGTTAATTTAACCTTTTACAAAGCATGTCATGACAGACGTAAGAAGTAATAACCTTGCATAGTTGTGTTCAGATAGCCCAAGGATAAAAGTTTAGGGGAAGGGATCACACATGTTAGACGAAAGTTATACCTGACTGTTCCCTGCCTCCAGAACCCCGCTGGGCTCCGGCAGAGCTCCCATAATCGGTCGGGCGAACCTCCCACAGAGGCCTCAGCGCGGATCACGGGTTTCAATCCCGCCTGTCGTCTTCCTCTCAGAACCAATAGATTAGACTTAGACTGAGAAAGGCAGAAAGAGAAGGTTTAGACACTCAGATCCAAGAGGGGTGCTCTCAGACTCGCAGGAGAGGGCCTTGAAGCCTTGATTCGCCTTAGGGCCCCGCAATAATGGCCAATGAAACGCAGTAAACCCTTCAGTTCCCAGCCAAACGCAAAATACCAGACCCCCTAACAATCCTCTGCGTCGCGGCAGCAGCCCCTCAGCTGAGTCTGACCCCTCCTCTAAGTCACCGTGCTCAAGACTGAAGTAGGCCATGCTTCGAATAGAGCACACCCCTGTGTTCTATTCAGCCACAGGTTGTAACAGCCTAGTGCAGTCGTGAGGCATAGTAGCAGTGTTCAATGAACAGCACTGCCTCCCTTTGCAGCAACCCATTCCCTGCGTCAGCAGCCCGCCGACACACAGTGATGGCAACTCAACCACCATAACAGCAGCCCGTTGCTATCTGAATCAACGGCACCAGACCACGGCAGCAATAACCTTTCCCCAAAGTAGTCACAACACACAATGGTGCACCGCGCCGCACTGTAGTCGTAGCAGTCCCTTGCTGAACTTCCAAACTGCAGCAACAACCCACCAGGCAAGGTCTGGTCTCACCCCCAAGGTTACCACAGTCCCTGCAGCATCCATATTCGGCGATAGTCAACAGCCGCAGTCACCAATCAGCAGCAGCAACAGTCCGTGCCCAGTCTACAACAACTACAGCAGCATGCATCGGTGTGCGGTAGCGTACAGCGGCCTACCCACAACTGCCTCAACTATCCCTCCAACAAAATTCAGCCATTCCTCATAATTTCATGGCTAAAAATGCGCTGGCCATGGCTGAAGATACAGCCTGTGGACCAAAACTGCAGTCTCACAGCCTAGAGATGCTGCGTTTGAATAGAGCACGCCCGCGGGAAAAACTCATCAGCATATAGCAGCAGTGCGCAGCAGCAAGGCTCAGCAGTGGTGCACAGTGAAAAACACAGCCAAAAGCTTAACAGTGCGCAATTAGCGACGCCGCACAACAATACACTTCATTCGTGCACGAGATACATAGCTATGCACAGTTCCGTGTGCAGCAAGTGGACAGCAAATCCCTGCAGCAAGCATGGGCGCAGCGGAAAGTACAGTATGCACAGCAAGGCAGTGCCACTCAATGCGATGTAGCACAAAACACAACAACTGGGCCGCCCAAATGCAGCGTGCACCCAGCAAAATGCACAACTAAAAAGCCAACGCAGCACAACACTTTTGCAGCAACAGCGTCACATAGCGAGCACCCAGCGTGCATAGCAATGAAGCACAGCAAAATCCTGCACACAACAAAATGCACAACACTTGTGTGCAGCAAATGGCTTGGTTGGATGCACCACAAGAACATGACCGTGGTAGCCTGAGACCCACAAGGTCCCACTGGCGTCCTACTCAGGCATAGTCTCAACAAGCATGCTCCTCACGTGACAAGTAAGCATCTCTCTCTCTCTCTCTCTCTCTCTCTCTCTCTCTTTCTC